TGTCAACGTTTTAGACTACTTAATAAAAAAAGAATTATTTAAAACAACAAATAAAATTTTATAATTTCTAGAAATAAATAAATAATTAAAACAATTAACATTTTTTCATATATATTTATCGTATATTTAAATTAAATATACTTTTTATTCCACCGAAAAAAAAATACATCCTGCTTGTTTAATATAAACTTCAATATAATCATTTTAAATAGGATTACAAATGTCATTTGATTAATTTAATTTATAGGTTTATCATCTCTCATCATCAATAAATAGAATGTGATTCTCATTTGAATCAATTCGATTGCCATTTTGTCAACTTTCTTCACTATCATTGCCACTTCAAATAATTTATTTCTCCTAAAATCGTCGTTTGAAATTGAACTCATCATGCTTTAACTCAAACCTTTTGTTGCACATATATTAATTTTTGTTTTCACAGAAATGGGATATAAGAGACAAACCAACAATATGATTTTGATCAAAGCTGATCTAAAAAACTATTCATAAATTTATGTTTCATAAATTTTCTTCTTCTTTCTGTTACTTATGTTACTTTCTTTAAGATAAAGAAACTCAATGATTTCACATCTTGATAATGATAAGGAAGAGAAATCCCATCATAGAGCCTTAATGCTTAAATGATTTTTCACTACGATTTTAATTTTCATTCTACTTAGCTCATGTTCGCTAATGATTATGATGACGTTCCATGTGTTTGTTTTCCTCTTAATTTTGGATTTGGTCTTCATTTGATGTTTTTTTAATGTTGTAAATTCATTTCTTTTATAATTAAATTTTTTCTACAATTGAATCCTTAGGGGAAATTAAAAAAAAGGGATCGAAATTGAAATGCAAGGAAATATTTATGTCAGCTACTAAATTCTACAACGCCAATACCGTCTGCTTTATCTTTCATTTATTTAATTGCTTTGATTTAAACATCGATTTAAATATTTTAGTTTTAAACAGCAAAAAGCTTCTTTTTTAATTTTTTTTTTCATATCAACCCTGCAACAAGTTAAACTTAATTTTTAAAAGCTTCATGATGCAAGGCTGATTTAAATATATTTTGAGACACGTTTAATAGTTTATGTTTATTCAACTATGTTTAAGTTATGTTTCGATTAAAATATTTTATTTTTAATTCTCTGTTGTTTAAATATTTTTCTTTTTTAAGTTTCAAGTAACAGACAAAGCCTTTTCCTTTAATGATTATAAAAAGAGGAAGATTCATCTAAGTGTCGATAAGGGCATAAGTTTATAGAAGGTGGCAATAGATTGTGAACATTATGTTAT